TCTATGAACTTCCATTAAGAATGAAATTATTATCAGAACAACTGGAGTCTTCAAATCAGGACAGTCAAACTGCAGATATTGTAACTGTGTCTCAATCACAGTCTTCCACTGATGAATTAGATTTTGAAAAATATTTGGATAATATCGAAAAGGCAAAGGAAATGAAAATAAATAACCAAGAGCCTTTAGATATAAAAATGAAAAAATACAAACAAGATTTATACACGGCCTTTGAAGAAATAGATAAATATGATTGCTCTTGCAAGATCGCTCTTTTAGAACTTATAAAAATCTATCCTGAAAAGTTAAAGGCAGTAGCCCTAACAGTAACAGCTCTTTTTCCTACTCAAGTCAGTGTGGAAAGACACCTCTCAGATCTGAAGTTTATCAAACCAGATCTATGGTCCTCTAACAAAGAGGATCTTGCTGAAGTTTTACTGTTTCTTAGAAATTACTAATGCCAGTTTTTCCATTTCATAATAAATGCTAATTAATATAAAAAATTTGCTATGCATCAACTTTTTTCTGTAGCATCTATTAATTCTTTTATATTAAAAAAATAAGCTGTACCCCTATGTATATGTTTACATATATATGAAGGAGTCGAAGTTGGAGTCAGAGTCGTAGTCATTAAAATTCCAGGAGTCGGAGTCAGTCATTTTCCCTACCGACTCCACAGCCCTGCCAGTAACACCAGTGGAATCTCCAAATGCTCAACCAGTTAACAAGGAGCTGTGCAAGAATGGATCACTTTATGATTGCAATCATGATGTGAGAAGAGGAAAGATACTGCAGAACTCCTGCAGAAGAAAATGCTATCATATTTACAGTTGAAGGTAATTACTGCTACAAGCTCAAGAGATGTTGGACGTGCATTGGGTATGAGCCAATAAATAATCTGGATGATTTTAAATGAGGAAGTGCATATATATCATTTGCCAAGAATGCAGGCATTGAAACTATACGTTAATATATCCACATATTAATATGCACATATCCTTCACATATTAATTCTGTCTGCTAACACCTACAATAGGCAATAGGAAATCTTGAATTTTCTCTATATGTCTCATTGACTGATTAAAGAAAATGTATGATAAATTGTCAGACTAAGTCACAAATATAAACAGAGAGCATTTTCAATGCTACACTTATCCTTGAATATTCAAAAGCCAAATGATAACCAAACATGCCATCACAGTTTGGATATATAATAAACCATACACTTAAAACTGATGAGGCTAATTTTGGATATTTGGGACATGTTTAACACTTACAGTTCTTCCCTACGGATGCATGATAATCCAAACAGCATGAGATCACATACCTACTAGGAAAGATTTTCAATTAACGTTTTGGCTAGCTAGATACAAAATTACTCAGTGGAAACATACATTCTACCTAGTCACATAAACAGCCACATGAATGGCATCTTTCTACAAGATATCTAGACAGAACACTTTCCAATCCATCAAATACATATTTGTCAATCAACTGCTAAAAAACTATTCCTTCAAAATCACACTCAAAATGGCAGTCATAAAAATCAGACAGAAATGTCAGATTTTTGAAGACCTTTTGAAGATTTTGGCTGAAATTAAGGGCTTTTAAGAACCAAAATTTATTTTCAGAAGAACCTAAGCACTTTTAAATACATTTAAGGACCACAAAAACCTTGTTTATAATATGCAGTATAACTCCTGTTAGTCATTTTTATTAGCCTTTTGAAGGATACTTTGCATGTGTGTGCATGTTTTCATTCTTTACTCAGTTTTACCAAAAAAATGTAGTTAATATGTTTCATAGAAATAAAATTTTTTAACACCATTAATTCTACTCGATGGAAAAAAAAAATCACTATAAATGACAAACTAAAACTTTCGTCTACATTCAATTTTCATTAAATTAGAGGAGAGAATTTTTTTTTTTTTTTCAATACCCAGATAGTGTACAGTTTCACTTAGTACTGATACTGGTGGAGCTATGGAATAGAAAGAAGAGTGAAACATAAATGTAGCATAAGAGATTTAATAAATTCTCATGCCAAAAAAGCATATTTATCAGTTATTAAATGCAAATAAAATCCATCACCCTAGAAAAGTCTAAAAGATTACTAATAAGAATGTGTTGATAATTCACTGAAAAAATTTAAATAATAGAAACTGTACAAATGAAATTTAAATGTTAATTGGTGAGTCAATTTATTAAGGCAAAGCATGAAGGATTATCTGTCTTAGTAGAGATTTCTTCATGAATGAATCTCTAAATGAAATTACTTGGTTTATATTCACATCAATGATGGAAAAAATTATAGAACTTGCATATTAATGCAACTGCCTTAGTAAATGTAACCAAATTCTTAGATTGCACAAAATTCCAACAACCATACACATAGTAATGTTTCAGGCAATCAACAGACACAATAATACTTCTGTTTCAACAAGCAGCATGGTCATTTTTTTGTGCATTCTTCCTGCATTCCAAGTTCCAGCAGTCTTTTTTTTTCTTTTTTTTTCGGACAAATCATAATAGATTTCTCTCAATTTCAGAATATGCACTTGAGAGATTTGCCTAAAGTGGAAGAAACTGCAGTAAACTTTCTAGGGGAAGAAAGCATTTTACCACAAAATTGCTACAGGAGACAATTGCTTTGAATCAATTCAAGTGATACCATCAAAATTTCCATCAGAACAACAAAACAAAAAAAAAAAAAAAGTCTCATAAATAGGTTACTGACTCATTTCTGGAATAAATGCCTAATTAAAACATAAAATATGTATATAATAACCATTAACTATTTGCAAAGCTATTTTAGATATTTGCTTATAATTGCAAATATCTAAAAAAATATTTGCAATTATATGCAATTATTTTTTTTTTGTCCGTAAAAAAACTACTAAATTGCACAAAGGTAGCTGCACTAACACCTAAGTATCAAAATCATCTCATTCACACAGAGCTGAGTTTGCAGCATTCAATGGTCTTGTTATTTAGCCACTGGACAACAATAAATATGTTTACCCAACATGAATCAAATCACAGTTAGAACATATAATATATCAAACAGAGTATATAATTACTATATGTCTACTTCCCCAAAGCACAGCTATTCAAGAATAGAAAGAAAAATTCACAATTCAGTTTTTCAGTACTTTTTAATTATTAACTATTTCAGTATCATATTATATTTGTGATTTTTGCTAATGGACTTCAAATTATTTTTTCCCTAAACTCATATTCAAAATTATACCACTTAATGAAGTGATATCATTGAAACAAATATCACTGATTGAAAGATAGTATCATTCTACTCTGTGACAAATAGTTAATGGTTATGCAACAAATGGAAAAAAGTACATTGTCAAAAAAAAAAGGGGAAACATGAACTTGGAAAGAAATAAAAACTCTGCTTCTGCAAAAATTTCACTCAGGGAAGTGGGAAAAACGCTGCTTTATATAAAATCTCATATACTGTCAACCTGTCTCGCATGTTGTCAGACAGCTGACAAGCATAACTTCAAATATTCAAAATAACAAGGTATAAAGTCTTATTATGTCATCTTTAATCTAACACTATTTTTAATCCTGTCGTCCTACTATAGATGGAGGGGGAATTGCAGTACTCTTAAAATTACACCTGCCCATCGGTGAGAAGTTAAGTACATCAGACTGCTCAACACATTTTGATTTAAATCTCATCAAATGGTATGGCTATATAAGCATTTTCAGGGCTTCTCATGTGTAATATAAATAGGAGACAGTGTGTCTCAGAAAATCCTTTAATAAAGTAACCATCCTCCGTCAACCTTACGTTGAACGACCTAATGGGTTTTATAATACTTATAAATGGGTTTTATAATACTTATAAAATGCACAATCCAATCTTAAAACTTCAAAATTATTTGTAATTCTTAATTTTTAAATAAATTATAATTTCATAAATAAAATAAGAAACCTTATTTTAAAGGCTTAAAAAAATTTCAAAGGGTTATTAAATTTTCCATTTTTTCTGACTTGACTTTCCAAAGTGGAAGTTTCATAAAATCAAAGATAAGCAAACTGATTTTGCCTTACTCATATCTGACACCTAACACAGCAAAGGATAAAATGTATTCATGCTAAAATGTTACATTTCTTTATACCAGTGGTAATCAAAAAATACACTGGTCAAATTTATTCTTGTAACTCTGACTATCCCAAATTACTCTCTGTTGCAGAAATTGCTTGAATAAATGAGTAACTCTTTCTGCTGGATGCTACATATGTTTTTCTGCTGATAATACAAGAGTCTAACACGTATATTATCAAATTCAAATCAGAAATTCTATTTATGTCTACGAAAACAGACTCAAATTTTAGAAACTTTAATTATGTCTTTACTTTTTTAAATGCAAAAAACAAATAAAAAATAAACGCATGTATAGCAAAATATTTTCGTTATTTTTAATTCCTCTCTGTTCTTTCCATAGACAGAATAAAAACTCGCATTTTAATTCTGTGCATGGAAAATGAAATTAATGAAACTATTAAATATACTAAATTCCTTAGTGTCTTTTATAGAAAAGATGAAGGGAAAAAAAGGGGGGGACTGTCTGATGTTATTTCCTTTTCTACCTTACAATCGCGATTTTATCCAAATACATGAAAAATAAAAAAATAAATTAAAAAAAAAAAAAAAAAAACTAGTTAAAATTGAAATGATTTTACACGCTCATATTCTTCTCAGTTTAACACAATTTCGTGGCTTTTAATTAATTTTAAATGTAAAATCTTACCAGCTGCCATAAGTAAATCAGAAACCATTATTTGAGAATAAAATTCACTACAGAAATAAATTTTCACCTACAGCCTTTACATGTGAAGCCCTAACTTTCGACTATACTATATATAAAAGGAAATTTTAATACATTTCATACAAACTGTGAAACATTCAACATATTTCTTTTCAAATAGTTCAATAATTGTTTTACAAATAAAAATGTAGCATTTAAGCGACTTACGACAGAGTATCGGCTTGGTCGGTTGTTCTAACATTCTACAAACACATAAATACGCGCTAATGTTTATAAGTGATGTTATACTAAATTACAAAGAAACGGTGTAATCATTACTATTGTGAAAAAGGAAAAGGGTATACTGAAGAAACCTTTTTTCTTTTTTTTTTTTATCGACAGTACCATTCACAGTACTCTTCACTCTAGCATAGTTACACTATTTTCTCATTAAATAAATAAATAAAAAAAAAAAAAGAATAGAAAAGAAAAGAAACAATACTAATTCTATGTGACGTGCAGCTTCACTTCAAAGCGAAGCAGTCAAAAAGAAAAATCACAGTGCTGTTACTATTAAAGAATTTAAGCACTGTTAACTTCAAAATAAAACCTTTTTCAGAATAACTGCTTTTTATGTATCAGATGTAGATAGTAAATATTCTCGTTTTTAATTCCGCATAAAATGAGATACATACCGAAAAAAAAGAAGAGGAAGCTAGTGGTCACGTGCCTTATGAACAACAACCTTCACATGTTCAATGTTTACAATGGAGTCTATTGCAAATGTTCCACTAAATGCAGGGCTGGAATAACCATTGAGCAATATAAGCACTTACTTTAGACATACATGAACGATGGCACCAGAAAAAAGTCTTTAAAAATTCAGGGAAAAAAAAAAAAAATGTGCACAAATTTTCCATTTCCGGTTTTTCCATGAAATAGTATAGCTAAACCCAAACCGAGAAAGAGATGGAATTAAAAAAAAACTGGCGTAAGCATATGTGAGGGCACCAAAATCTTTTAGCGCTTAGGGCATGTAAAATTCTTAATCCAATCCTAAATTAAAGTGTTGATTTTTTTTAACTTAGAATTTTATTGGTATTGAGAAAATTTTTAAAAGTATGTGGAGAATCGTTCGCTTTTTCCCCAACATATGGCAGCATTATTCTGAACTTGATTACTTTCGCCCAAGGTCCGTAGAAATGGACTAGCGTCTCAAAACAGGGATGGCTGTGAACGGCTCCTTATGAGAAAATTTTTTTAACGAACTGCGCATGCGCCGTTTCTTTTTTCACCAACAAATGAAGGTAAACCTATTGTAATTTCTCGCCAGATTTTCGCGTTTGATTTGAATTAGCGTAGGTGTTGTCAGTGAGATTAATAACAGCGATAATAAAAAAAAGTCATTTCAAATGCAAGGAAATATTTTTTGCTCTTTTTCACACTATATATGCTATCATCGATAGAATTCAAGAACTTTTAGTAATTAGGTCAAAATTAATTTTAACGTGTAAATTTCAAACTCACAAATTTGAGTACAGATTTTCATCAGATGTCTGAAGGCAGTTACTATATTTCAGTACAGTAAATCCTGGAATATGAAAGAAAAAAAAATTTAATTGAAGTCTATTCTTCAGCTTCATTGTAATTCCTATGGATACATCTCTCTAAAATAGTTTATTACAGAAGTTTCAGATCTAAAAGAAGTTCATAAAAGTATTGATCAATGAAATTATTTCCAATGGTCAGTAAAATTGGTTGCAGTTTCAGACACTGTTGCAGAAGTTCTCACATACAATTGCTGTTTATTGTGCAAGTAATATTGAAACTAACTAAAGTGCTTGCATAGATTTCTGCATCTTGGAGGAACAAATGGAACATTAGTGGAAACAAATTATGTATATATTGATACTGTATAATTTGGGAGGTTTCAAAGACCCAGCAGAAAATATGGTGGCATTGATATCAGTTGCATATTTACTTTTCCAAACTATTATATCTGAAAAGTACGAAAAGCATTTCATCTACACTATCAGCTTCTTACAAAAATAACTGAGGCTCATCTTAGTTATTTTTGTAATATAGTATGCACGTATTAGTAAAAGATGCTGTGAATATAATTTGCTGTACAAGATAAAAAACATGAGTGTTGTCAGGATTTCTAAATATATGTTTGAACAATTATGTACAAAACATTCCTTCAAATTCACTTGAAAGAAATGAGGAAACGAAACTGAAAAAATTCAAGAATCAGTAAAAAGCAACTTTGTTTTATATTTGGATGATATTGTCTTAATGCTATGTTTAAAATCACAATTTCTTAAACTGTTTGTTTTAAGTATACATTTATACTTCTTGCAAGGTTAAAGTGGCCTTAAATCAACATAATTTATTATATTATAAATAATGAAAATTTGTCATTGTACATTACTTATATAAAGAGAAACATAAAGTGACATAGTGTGATAAGTTAGGTTTGTAAAGGTAATAAATATTTTCATTGTGCAAGACTTGAATGTTCAATGAAGAATTTTTCAATCTTGGTATTATTTATCGTATAAAACATCACAATTCAAATAAAAGTACTATTTTGTGGTATAATTCCATTATAGGAGCCGTAGCAAATTGCAGCGAAAATATATGCGCAAAATCTAGCGAAAGCGGCGATTTCACATCACGTAAATTTAAATAGTTCTATATTTGTAAGTCACCGCCCACACGATATATTGTTTAGGGAAGTTGACTGCGATACCACAAGGCCTGGGCCACAAGGACTTCCATACCACAAGGAGAAGGCATGGTTATAACTGCCGGTTCCTTCATAGATTTTTCCGCACTCCCCTATTGGTTTATTAGGTGCCTCCATAATAAAGTGACCACCACCTAGCCTTAGTTGTGGCCAAGCTGAAGGCCCGCTGTTGGGGGAAGGGGAATATTTGTAAGTCGCCATTGAAATACTGGTTTATTTTTTTAATTCTTTTTTGATAATGATATGGATCTAACAATTTGCCAATTGCCCAATGACAAAATGTCTGCAATAGAATTTTTTCAAAGAAAAGACATCATTCATTATAGAATATTATGATCGAAAAACCATGAGATGAAATTATGCTTTAGCGGTAACTCAGTAGCGAAATGGAGGTGCAGGAATGAACCTGTATTCTGAAGAAAGGATTAAGAAGTCAGATATTGGTTCGAAGGAACGAAAATCCCCTTCCTTTTAACTGTAGGCAGGCTCACCTATTTTTGGTATCAAGAGATGACATCTATTGAATTTTGTGAACTCCAATTGAAGATGAACCACAATACAACTGTAGACTGGAAGATATGCGTGAGGTGTGTGCCATAGCTTTAATTTCTCAGCCTAAGAAATTAAAGCTATGGCACACATTGGACATGGCAGATTGTATCTGCCATGTCCAAATGCATAATTGATGTGAATTTAATCACAAGTTTGATTCTAATATATGGAGTTTTTCTAATTTTGAAGAAAGTGTTTTGGATATTGATTAATAGCATTAATACTCTTTCAAATAATGTAGTTATTATTTAATGTAGAGTTTATGTGAATCTATTCATGCATGTTGTTCCTGAAAATTACATCAGAACATTAAATACCTGTTTATTTATATTCATGAAAAAAATATTTCAAACCTAGGTAATTATTTGTTACGATTGTATGTAGACCTAATATAAAGTGTTTCGCATTTGTGTTAGAAGTTGGATGTTTGAAGATTTTGCTTTGAAAATTATTTCAAACCTTAAAAACTATGTCTTTAGTATTACAAAGTTTGCTTTATCTAAGTGTAATCATATAACAAGTTAGGATATATAATTTAGGGCCCTAGTCTGGACACGGTCGAGATAGAAGAACGGGTCGTTTTTTACGATCTACTCGACAAAAAGCGAGTCTAGTGTCATCGTCTCGATCATTACAGAGATCGACACGTCGGAAATTTTTCCGTCAGCTGGACAGCTGCCGTTTATGTTTCTGACTGTCGTTTTAGAGCTAAACTGAGGACGGCGGAGGTCACGGATTGTTTTTAGCAAGTTTACGTAACAGATATTTTAATTTATTAAAGATTTGTGAAAAACTCGAGTATTTCGCAATAAAAGTAACGCATTTGATGCTGACGATTCTACATTATTTATTTATTCTACTTTACCAATGCCATAATTAAATTTTAGTGAAAATAATATATTTGGTGTTTTCCTATTTCACATATAAAGAAGGGTGCATACTTTTAATTTAATATTGTAATTTTTAAACTAATGTATATATCAATGTACTTAATTTCATGTTTTGATGAGTAGTTTGTAAATTTTGTGTTTTAAATTATAATGTATTTTCCTCTACTTTTATTTTAATTTGCAGTGTATAAAAATGTAATACATTAGACATGCATTAAAGAATCTGCAGTATATAATTCAAACTATGCAATCCTAAATTCAACATTTACATTAAATTGCTTTGAGTTAAAAAATTTATTTAAGTAGTTTTAACTGTACCGATATCAATGTCAATTTCCAACAGTTTTTAGAATCTCCTGTATAAAACAAGTTAAATTTCTATATAATTTTAAGTTAAACTAAATTCTTGTAAATAATATAATGCATGATTTATAATTAGTTATCAGATTTTTTAATGTGGTCTACTTTTAGATATTACATCAGTTTTCTGTATTTTTATTCAGATCTAAAAAGTGCTTCGTTTTGGTTTTATGTAATTACGGTAATGACTCGAGGGCTATCTGCCTTAAATGAGGGTTGCCTTCGTGGAGGACATTCTAAGGGCACTAGCTTGTATACACGTAACACATGGAGAAAACCACGAAAACGTCCATGCAGCCAGCCCGTTCGCGGGATTCCAACCTTGGACCGAACTTCCAGTGTTCAGCGATTTTACCACTCGGCCGCTGGTGGAATCGATTTAAAAAGGGTATAAATAGGAATATGTGCTGCAATTTCTTTCACTGCATCTGTTAATATATTTATAATACAGTATATATATATATATATTATTTCCTAAACCGTATTGATTAATTGATTATATTATCTCCTAAGTTTAATTAAAGTAGAATTATTTTAAAAGTGTGCATCCATACTGGTAAGTTATATTTTGAAAGATGTTTTGAAGTAATTTGAAAGCAAAATGTTAATAATGTTTTTAACGGGGACTGGAGTTAAATCATCACGAAGAATAATATTACAATTGTAAAAGTAAAAATTAAACATGTAATTATTGTCATTGATCGGAAAATTAGTTGACTTTTTCAAGGGGAACTTCGCACTAAATGGATTTAAGTTCATACAACATTATATATATATATATATTTAAAACAGATTTTGTGTGCCTTAAACTTCTATGCTTCTGGAAGTTACCAATGATATATTGGTAATGACAGATACATTGATAATGACGCCCATGCGTCCAGCCCGTTCGCGAGATTCGAACCTCGGACCGCACTACCAGCATTCGGAGATTTTACCGCTCGGCCACTAGTGGGATCGACTTAAAAAGGGCA